AGTAAATTTAAAAAATCTTAATATTCAGTACTGCCAAGGGTAAAAGTTTGATTAGTGTATAGCATTTTTTTTGTATAGATATGGCATTATATGGCCTAGTGGTTAGGCTCTCGGACTCGCAACCGCCAGGTCGTGGGTTCGAATCCCGTCAAGGGCCCGACGTTGTGTCCTTGGGAAAGGCACTGTACACGAATTTTCCTCTCTTCACCAAGGTGGGATGGGTACACGGCTATAGACAGTGAAATATCTTGTCAGTTTGTTAGTGTTTGAGCGCTTAATCAGCTGCTTGCACTGTATGCTTCCGGGGAAGCTGAGCATGTTTCTGAGTGTTCTATGGTCTGATGGGGTAATACTATACTATAGTGTAAAGCGCGTAGAGCCTGCAGTTGAGCGGGGATATGCGCTATACAAATGCTATCTATTATTATTAACCTAACCTTTCGGGATTACGACATAAAATCGGGTATTCAGTGTGAATGTAGCATAACAATTAGGCAGGTGCCAACAATTTGGCGTGTCGAAATCAATTGTGAGGCAGTGTGGTGGAATCAGGCTCTCGTCAATTTTTGAGCATGTAGAGTTATTGGTATCAACTTAAATCTTGTTCACGTGTCTTTATTTGGATGAAAAAATAATCATTTATCCTGAATACAAGTCGAGATATTTGCGAATGAAGGAGATGGGGGTCACATGTTTTCAGAGGTAAAATTAGTGAGAAAATGGCCAGCCAAAGATTAGCTATTTCCTTAGCTTAAGAGTCCGTGGTAACCGAAAATTTACATTTTTTGTGCCTTTAATCAACGTTTTTCAGAAAAATCCACACAGAAATTAGTTATTTAATGGGCATGAAAGGTATTGAGCTAAAAAAACAAACATTTGATAAAAAGTCATAGACCTGCGGAAAAATGCCAGTTCCTTCACTTTGGTTATTTCGACGAGAGGCTGATTCCACCGCGCTGCCTCACAAGTATTGTTCCGCTTTCAAAAGGTGACATTCTGCCTGCAGAAGAACAGAACATTTCCATACAAGAAAACTGCTGGAAATAAATAAGTACAATGAAGTCCGCCTTTGGAGTTTTGTTTTCACAGTTCGACCATTTCTGAGTAACAGGCACCTCATGCGCTTTTTTTTTTTCGTGTATTACGGCTCTCACAACTGCATACGGTCATATAAACGCGCGGGACACATTAAGCAGTTTTCACTTTGGTAGGAATTAATTTTGAATTTTGCCCGAGTGGCGCCGAATCCAACTTTTATCGATTTTAGGATAACCTAGGGATCTTTAACGTGCGCAACTAATGCTCTGGACTCCGAACATTTTTCGCGCCTATCCTAGAAGGTTAGGTTTGGACCTTACCTACCCTGACATCAGGGATGTGGCTGAAAGACAGCAGCAAGAAGGAGCCAGGGAGTCGTAGTATAAGTAGAAAGACTGAAGAAAGAGCCAGGAGTCCAGAGGAGTTGGCAAAAAAAGTGTGTGTGTGGGGGGGGGGGGGGGAAGAATGTGGATACGCAAGCAGACCACCGAACATGGTGTGAGAGGTGGAAAGGAGGAGAAAAAAAGAGACAGTTTCAAAGAAGAACATTTTCCGTCCTGGTGTGTTTCGAACCCGGAACCTACTGAATGAGAGGATAAACACCGTTCCTCTAGAGGGTGGTTGGCCCGTGCTCTGATGTGGTTTGATTCTTCTTTCCTATCAAACGTCTATCGTCTTTCCCCCCCCCCCT